TATATATATATATATATATATATATATATATATATATATATATATATCACCGTAGATATTTGGACATCAATAAGTGTGTGTAATGGTATTCGCATGTATCATTGAGTGCATGCCTTATTTTTGTTATATCAATGTAATAAACAACACTATAAGTTAATATAAGTTTATATAAATTATAAGTTTTTTTAACACAATAAGTAAACTAAAGCGGAATTGAAAAAAATTAAACATTTGCTGTGTTGCTGCAAATAACTATTTAACGTTTCGAGGAAAAAAAAATCAAAAGTACCACCATATTGAATAATATCAGCTTTATAATGGTTATTTTAAAAGTCCAAGTTTATTTAAGACAGAATCATTTGTAGAAGAAATTTTTAACTTAGTGGAAAAGAATTAATTTAATAAATGTCTACTGGATAAAACATTACTTCGGATAAAGAAAGTTTATTCAGAGGAACTAAACAAATCGAGACAAAAAACAAAGTGCCACTCCATTAGAGTAAACTCGAGCCGGATGTCGATCTTACGTAAACCTCTAATAAGCACAAGTTTTAGCATAAGACACGGATTTCTTAAAAATTTCTTAAAAAAAAAAAAAGAATTAGTTCAACTGTTGCTAACTTGAGTATATTTTTCGTCTCGACTCTATGTACCTTAGCCGTTAATATTATATACATTGTAAATTTTAATCGGTTATATGAAACAATAGATACAATTTCGATTCGATTCGTCAAAATAACTGGATTTTTCCGGGAACCTCGGGAGAACTGATTCTTGAGCTTATGTTAGAATAATTAAAAAAATAATAAAGCTTTAAAAAAAAAAAAAAAAAAATCTCCGATTTCATTAAACTGTACATAACGTGTTGAAGGATACAAAAGAAGACGAGGGAAAATAGTAGACGGGATGTATCATCATCGATGATAATGCGTGAAACGTCTCTATCGCGACGCCAGTCAAACGGTTCGTCCTGTTTGCCGAGGTTGACGCGAAATCCGGGATGAAAAACCGGTGTCGAGTAATACAGTGCGTTACGGATGTCGTGGTGCGTTGCTCGCACGAACGCGAACCGAAAGGGCACGGTGGTGTTTGGCGGCAGAGAAACCCCTGTCTTATTATTACCAAAGGGCCCGGGGATTACGTCGGTGGGAGGGGGGGGCGCACGTTGCGGTGTCGACGCGGGAAAATCACCGTCACCGCGAACGGGAAGAGCGCCGCAACGTCTGATAATTGTTCCGCGGTCGCGGGGCGCGACGAAACGTCAAGACCGCTAATTGAAACTAGTTGGTGCCGTGCTGTTGCGACGACGAAATTTCAGTCGTCTGCTGCTGCTGACGCGCAACGTAAGGGACGGGACGAGTAAACGAAGTGCACCGATCCGTACCCCGGACGTGTACAAGCACCTGAACGTGACAACGAGTTACTACTACTACTACTGCTTCGGTGTACGCGTCGGAATGCGTTCGTGTACGCATTGTTATCGTGTTCCGTGTGCGCGTACACATTTTGCACAGTATCATTACACCGCACGTCGCCATCGTATATCAGCATCGTCAGGATATGCGGTGGGTACGAAAAATGTATACGTGATCTTTTTGCACGCGCGTACATAAAAACCAAGTACCACTCGCTGATCGATATTTATCGAAATCCAATAAACGCACGGACTTGAAATCCGGAACAATGGTTCTAACTAATATTTCAGATGTGCAGTGAGAAGGGGCTTTTCGAAAATCGCATTTTTACCGAACGAAACCGTTTTGGACCGGATAAATAAACCTTTTCACTTTTTGGCTGCCTAAGAAATATTTGATTTTAATAATTGTACGTATACTGATCAATGTACACTGCAAATCAATAAAAACTAATGGCATTTGAATGAACAAATTTGTTGCGGTTTTTTCAACCTAAAATGTTTAGGTTAGAGGAGGATCAACGTAATTTTTCTATACACCGTATATATCATACAAGCACGTGTTACTAGAAGAGGAGTGATCGTTCGCAGTGATTTCCATAGTTCCACAAAAATTGCGTATGTGCGTGCGTGTGTGAGTGTATGCATCTGTATGCGCGTGCGTGTTTACACACATTTTTATTGTTGAAAAAACTTTCGATTTTCTCTTTCGTGCACGATCATTGGAAGATCGAATTCGTCAAAAATAACTATTTACTATATCCAATATTCAACAGATATATTGTAGTAATATTGAAGTACTATTATTATTTTCAATTTTTAGCAATATTATAATATTATATGGTTTCAGGTCTCTATCGGTTTTCCTTAAAATCGAAGTACGGGTAGTCGTTCAGCAGCGGAGCAAATCCGTTATGTTTATTACACGTGATGAACACGAAAACGATAAATCGATAAATTAATATTTATTAGACATACTTTAAGTTAAAATAGTTGAAAACCTAGGTTTACGCTATAAATGATTTTAATAATTGAAACTCTGTGAATACTAGAATTGTATACCTTCAATCTCTCGATTTATGCCAAAAATATAAGTGTGTAACATCGAGTGTATACTATGGTACTTCAATATTTACAATGCATATTAGAATAAATAAATGTATTTATATTATTTTGTAACATTTTGATTATTTTTCTTTTTTATTATTTTTTTTTTTTATATTCTTGTCGTCAAAATAACTACACACACTTTTATGACTTGTTCTTTTTAATTATTACAAACATATAAGTTATAAGAGTATATGTCACAAAGTCACTAAACCCACAATAGTAATATATTATATTGCAGTGTACAAATAATTGGTAGGTACTCCATCAAAATTACATGTAATTGATAATATAATTAATAATTATATTTTAACTATGTTTTTCAATAGATATTCCATAAAATTTAAATATATTTGTGTAAAATTTGTTTTGAAACATAGATAATTGTATATTCTTGTGTCATACATTAGTTTTGAAATTTAAAAAGTCTTTAGTCGAATATAAACCATTACCGAAAGAAAATTCCTTCTTGGGGAGAAATTATGTAAACATGTCGTTTCAAATACAATTAATAATGAATGTTCAAACGTGTATCAAGTAATAAAACTCTTAACCATTAAATACATTATATTATGGTTCCTAATTAGATATATATATCTGAAAAAAATAATTAATGGATTGGAGAATTCCCATATTTATAATATAATATTTTAAGTATATTTTATAAAACTACCTAGCTGTTAAGAATGGTTACAGATATTTAAGGTAATGAAGTCCTTAGTATTTGCATTTATTCGATAAATTATAATATATATATAGCTAAGTAACACATGAAAATACTTAAATGTTTTGTAATTATAATTTTGTTTCCATAGGTATTTTTTTTATCTACTCGGCTCTTTCTATCCATAGCTGTTTTATATTGAAAATCCAATTGAAATGTACAATACATTTTACCTGACCGACAATGATAATATATGTATTGGTAGTTTATAATTTTGTGCACATATCTCTTCTAACCCTCTTCTGTAATCGACCGATGTTGACCCCTTACCGAATCGTATTATGAAATCTAAATGGAGAAAATAAAACAATACAAATCAGTAAATTACTACAATTCATTATGTTATTTTAAATAAATAAAAAATAAAATGTGTGGATAAAAAAATAAAAAATAAATGTTTTTTTCTCAATCACGATCTAGATAATAAAATAAACGTCCAATAAATATTTGTGTCGGTAATGTATAAAGAGTTCTAAACTATCGCAGTTGTATTTTATGGAATAGCTGTTTAAAATATCGATACAAAATACAACCACGCTTTGTGTTGTTAATTTATTATAGTGCGTGTTTGTTCAAACGTTTTGTCCGTTGTTCTCTTGTTTTTTTTTTTTTAAATTATAAATCGAACAAATACAAAATATGTTTGTAAAAACTAATATGATATGACAGTTAACGTTGAGCAAAAAAAATGTAATAATTTATTATGTAGAGTAGATCAGATAAATTATTGATAGGAAACATTAACACAAATTGATTTTAAATAATGCAAGTGCGCTGAGTTTTTTAAGTTTCATTCATACATATTTTATGTATATAGACATGTGGTATAGACCCCTATAACCGAGTTAATTTATAACTCTATTATAATGTGATTATATTTCATAAAACTTTATATAATCTTAAAAGTTTTTAACAGTAAATGTTGACAGTAATATATATGTAATATATTAAATATTATTCCCTTCTAACCATATATCACGATGATCAAATTAACTTAGGTTAATCCGTATTCAAACTTTTTTTCTTTTATAATCAATAAGTCTGTGGGTAATGTTTAGTAAAAATAAATATTTAAACTTACATTTTGTAACTTAAATTCCAATTTATTGAAAATCCAACAAATACAAACGAATAATTTACAATTTTGTTTATAAAAATAAAAAATACAGAGTTTCTACACAAAATTATAAGATATTAAAATATATATAAATGTTGGGTTTAAAATAATTGCAGTAAACATAATTACGTATACAGTTCTATTACCAATACCTAATGACAAATAATTTGTAAATTTTTCGTAAAAAATTTTTTTTTTAATAAAAAACAACCATTGTTTAAACTTTTCATCGTAAACACAATTTTTATTACGCTTATTATTCTAAAAACAATAACATCACAGGAAATTAACTATTTAATGTTGTACTGTAGGGTGGTAACATACAATTAATTTCTCTATTGATCGTATGGCGTGAAATTGTTATGGTGCAAAACATTTTAAAGTTTTTGAATTATTTATCGATATCAAACAACATATTAAAAAATATCTTAAAAACTACAGCTATATCACTTATAATATAGGCAGTAGTGTACATTATAATATTATTTCAAATTGTTGAAAATTATATCTAATTAACACGCCAAAATTATTCAATTATAAAACTGTAGAAGTACATTGTATATTTAAGTATATTGTATACGCAAAGAATGAATACAAATTTACACAATTATAATAATGGTCACACTACAATGATAATTTCGATAGTTTTAAATAAACAAAAAAAAAATAAACATGGAGAAAAACATCACGAAGGAGTAATAACTGATAATGCAAAGCCTGATATTATGAGATTAATTTAGTTTTATAACTTTACATCGGTCAATTTGATACTTAAGCTATAGTAAATTTAGTATACTATTCGTCATATAATTTTTCTCTAGATATTTGATTTCGGATGACATTTGATCGGTTACACGTTTATAATAAGTATTAGCTGCGGTATACTGTAGTGTAAGAACCTAATTAAGTAAACATGCAGTAGATTCTCGTTAAATCTAGTGTCGAAGGAGTACGAAAATAATCAGAAAATTCGAAATATCAATTTGTTGAATGTAATGAGAGTTCAGAGTAGATTATTATTAAAATCAAGATGCATATTACAATTTTTAAAAAAATCAACGTTTACTTAAATAGTAATTTATCAATAAAGTCCTGTGTTGAATTTTATCAGAGATCTGAGGTTTAAAAAAATTGATTTTGATAACCGTGCACGGTCAAAGGAAGGTGAATTTATCGTACAATGATAACAGGCGTATTTTTGCAATAATGACGGATTCGAGGAAAGAAAAAACCACTTAAAAACTAGAATTTTTTTTTTTATATCCCGATTTTTAACCTCTGACTGGCTAAAAAAAAACTGCTTGAACTACTTTGAAAAATAAAATTGATATTTTATGCTTCAGACGATATCGCCAAACATCTGATTGCCAACTGTTCCAATTTAAATAATAATTATCAGTGTATAACAGATAAATGAGGATGTTGCCTTTGTATTAATATATTTCATTTACGTACACTAAATGAATTAGTAAAATCATACAGTTATAGTAAAATATTTCGAATAATAATGATGTAGATCATGATTTCATAGTATATATAAATATGTTATGATTTTTAAACTGATATTATTATTTTTATGAATTTATTTTAATAATTATTATTATTTTTTTTTTTTTTTTATAAAGTCCGTGGTTTCGCAGAATAAATTCAATAAAATTGATGGTCAGGTGTAAAAAGTTTGAATATACTACCACCCAATAATATCGGCTAGGCTATATCGCATATGAGAAAATCCCAATTCTGAAAAAACTTTTTTTTTCTACAGCAACAGACCGTTAATACTCATAAGCTGTCGACCACTAACCATTTACCTCTCTCTTTGTCATGGTTTCGTCCCACGTGACCTTTTCCACAACGTAATATGTAGTCTAGTGACAGGAAAATCTGTTTGAACTTTGGTTTCATCGATGACGGTGAAGTACGACTACCTGCTGTGCGCGTCTACAACAACCCATCTCTGATTTCCTTCCTCATCATTTCCAATATAGACTACTTAAAAGATACTTCGTTTCTCAGATTGTACCTCTTCAACAGAAGATCCACCCATATTAGTTCTTATTTTTAAACTAAACCTCAAGTTGTTTTTACTTCCGGATTTTCAGTAGTTTTGAACGGTTGTAGGTTAAAGAAGACGTAAAATATAAAATAAATAAAATAAAATAAATATTACCCTCTAGGGAAGTACATAATAATAGTTTCGTTTTAATATATTTGACCAATCTGCTTGTATGTTAACAAATTCGCTTGTAAAGAACGATGTTTATTTAATCATACAATATTGCTTTGACAATGAATTGAATGATATAACAAAATTGTATTGCATACTATGTAGTAAAAAAAATAATAAATAAAAGTTGTTATTTTTAAATTGACTATTTATGTTCAACGTTTGTATCCATACGGCTTAAAGCGTTTAAAAAGCATTTAAGAGAGGGAGTCAATAAAGGTAAATGTTGTTCTAGCTTTCCGAAGTAAAACTTCAAATTGCGTCTATGATGTCCGGTATGTACAATTTACACGAATAACTCTTATCACCATGTTATGCACCTAAACGACAAAGAACCTTTTGTGCACACATAAGCTCCCTTTGCTTAATAATATTGTACTACGGCCAAATGTGTCACATGGGAAATAAACTGTATCTCGTTTTCCATAAAAATACAGAATCCAACTAAGTTTAAATTATTACGTTTTTTCGGTACGTACATAATATTATTATATCTACAATATTATTTTGTTATATTTAAATTGTAATAAGAAAAAAAAAATCGTTTTTTAAACAAATGAAAACAAACAAGATTGGAGATATAATATAATTTCTATAAAATTATACGCTTAATGTTTAAAATGTTTAAAACGTACTTCATACTTAATTTTCTTTAAACTTTTAAAAATAGTAATTTGTAATTATCTAAATTATACTCTAAGTATTTGTAAATAAAACAATAAAGTACATTTATAAATACATTTAATATTCTTTAGATTTTTTTTTAAGCGTTTTTCAAGTACAATACTTACATTTTTCGCTCGATAATGCTAATTATTTTTGTAATTCTTTTTTCTTTTAATCTTATCATTAGCATAATTTAAAGCTAAAACACCTTTTTATTCAGATTACATTTATATAAGATTATATATGATACAAATCCTAATATATATTTCACATATCATAATAGTTATATGTATATAATATAATATATAAGTATTGTAATCATTAATAACTCTACATACCTACTAAATTTTTATCAACTATAATTACTGATGAATAAACATTTTTACTGTTCATTTATTTTTGATTACATTAGTTTCAAAAAAGTACAATTTTAGCTAAATATTATGCAATGTCTTTGAATATAATATATAATAAATTATTGAAAAATAGATTATTAATTAAATATAATTTTAATTTTTAAATCATATTACATACTAATAATATAATTTCTGCAATAAAATATAATCTTTTTTACAAAGTATATTTTTCTTAATTATCCACTATTTTCCATAAAATTGTATACATTTATTATAATAATTTTTAATGTTCAAAATATAACTTTACAGATGTTGCTATACCGTCTATTATAAATGTTATAGATACTAAATGTATTATCAGATATCTATGAAATATATAGTCCTTAAAATAGTCATATTTTTTTTTTTACAAAATGAGTAATTAAATATAAATTCACAATCATTTATTGTACCGATGATTATTATTTTATAAATTTAGTCTGATAAAATAACACATGGTTATAAGATATATATTTTTTTTTTTTTCATGAACCCTACGACAATATTATTTATGTATATTTTTCAGTATAGAACGAAAATTAATAATGTTTCTTTATAATATAATTTTAGAACATTTAGTTTGAAAAGTTCCGGGTTTTTAATATTACATTTCTCTTGCAGATATAGTAGGTATACTGCCAAAATTAATTAGCCCCCGTGTCATGTTAAGTCAATTTATTACTATTATGTAGATAACATTAGAAACTTTAAGACCGTTTATTACAGTAACATATTGTGCTCACTTAAAATCGGTTCAATTTTATAAATTCATACTTACAAGTTTAGTGTTTACTTAAATTGTTCGTTTCTTTCAATTACAAGTATGAATTATTAAAATAATTAAGTTCTAAGAACACATAGATATAATATGTGCTTTATTACA